ACAACTTTTCATCTTAGGCAGGAAGGATGCCTCCAGAGCAAACTTACTTATGCAGTAGCCAAATCACTCACTCCAGTAGCTCACAAGATTTTCAGCTCACAAGATTCCACAGCTTAGACTCCAGGGACCATTGCAATGCACACAACATGTATTTACAGTATGGTGCTCCTGTGTGTGGCGCTGCTGGTTTCTGGCTGGCCTCTACCCTACTCTACCATTGGAGAACAATTAGTGTGATGCTGTTTTATTATTTTCAGCATGCAATTTTGGTTTGGGGTGGCTGCTGGCCGTGGAACTTAGGTGCATACACGCACCACCCTCAACATCACCCTGCACTGCACAGTAACCACAGGGTCTGTTGAGGTATTTCTGCTGCAGGTGGGATGGATGGAAGTGGGCAGATTGATGGGGAATTTCTGTGCAAATCAAAATGGTCATGGCCCTGGCTGCTACTTTGCCCTAGCATCTAGTTTTAATCATGGGAAGAGCATGGCCCAAATTCCCAGCACAGACCAAGAGAGGATTGCAGGCACAAGAATGTGCTCGCTTCAATCTTCATAGTCTACTTCTGGGAAACAGAACAGTGGCAAGTTGACCTTCAGGAAGACCAACTGCTCAACTGACCAGGGGCTTAGGCGTGAGCGATGCGGGCAGACAATGTCGCCCACATGGGAAAAGATGCGCTCACTCTGAACGCTCATCGGAGGGCACGAGAGTAGCTTCAGGGCCACAGCAGAGAGGGCCGGCCAGACCGCCTCCTTCATGGCCCAGTAGCTGAGCGGACAGGTGGACTCTGGTTCGTAGGGCTCCGCAAGGCAGCCGCCGTGTCCTCTCTCGTGTGACCTCCGCTCCCAGAGGGGCCAAGGATCCGCCTCATGAATGCCATCTCAGGATTTGTGGTGGCGGGAGCCGTGAGGGGGACGCTGCCTAGCAGGGGAGGTGGAGGATGAACAGCACTCGAGGTTCTGGCACCCTCCCCTCTCGCAGCTCCTGACAACGTTCCCATCTTGGCTCGCATCTTGCCAACTCACTTGGAGAGAAGATTCCTCCATCGAGTTAACTCGTTGGCCCGCTCGGCGATCTTACCCTTTATGCGCAGATCACACATAGTCGCCATCACGTAGATCCTGTCCTGGAGGATAGGCTCAAAGCGCCTCTGCAATGCACTTTGCAGCCTTCTCACCAGGGCGCACACCGCTGGAAGAATGTCTGCACGTCCTGCAGGTGACTTCAGAAATGATGCCAACTCCTCATGGACCATGAGGACCATGGGGATGACAAAAGCAAAGCCCACCGTGTCAGACGAGAGCAATTCTGTGAAGGTCTTTAAGGGCTTAAGAACCTCCACAGCCTGTGAGATGGTCAACCACTCCTCGCGGTTGAGCTGGCTCTCTTTCTGAATGACCCCGCTCTCAGAGATCAGGGCAGTCAGGGCTCTCTCCTGCTCCACCAAGCGTTCAAGCATGACGCAGCTGGAGTTCCAGCGAGTGGAGATGTCACCTTGCAGGCCGTGCTCCAGCAGGCCTGCCAGCGTCTGCTTCTCGCGCAGTAGATAGAGGTCCTTCGTACTGCGTGAGAAGTGACTCATGATGAACGAACTCATGAGTC